GTATAGTCATGTGATGGCTCCTTTTAGCAGGATAACTTACCATGTTACAAAACTCAAATCATTCTCAAACTGGTTTCTTGAACATTACAATGAGATCACGATAGTCAGCTAGCCTCCAGATCTCAATCCAATAGAGCATTAGCGATTGATGCTTTCGAAGCACTGCTTTTTGTAAATCATTTGTTTCAAACAAGTGGTTTGGAGCATTTATCAAACTTCCAAAGTCACGTTTTCAATAAACAAGGCTTAATCAAGTCACAACAGTTTCGAAATGTCAGTGATTCTCTGGTTGGGGGTTGATCTCTGTAAACCTATGATAGCCACTGATACCACATTAGCAGTTGTGCTGTAGTAACACTACACTATCATAACTAATAACAAAATGTAATAATCACACTCCTAATATTCTATAATAACGACAGCATCTCGCATGGTGTGCCCGATATAATCTAGTGTGTTTGTGTGCTACAAGCAGTGTGCAAACCGTATTACAAGCGCCATCTAGTGTTGAGTTACTATTTATCTAATAGAAAAACATGCTTTAAAAAATAGTTGGTTAGGTGCTGTATTCATATCTTGATTGAAGGTCAAAGGCTGAATCCTGAAATGCTAAAGGTTGAGGTTTAATGCATTTCTGATAACTCAAAAACGCAATTTATGATAAAGTCCCAGATTCCAGCAAAGAATGTTTTGTCTTTATTATACATAGCAATTTAAAGGAAAATTAACCTGTTTAATCCCAATTTTTTCCAAGACATGAAAATATCCAAATGGTGTGTCATTAGTAACCCTTTGCAATAATCAATTATCATTTTTTGAAAAAAAATTTTTTTTTTTTTTGGTAAAGTGTGTGCAAAATTGTGGTATATATACACTGAATTAACATATTTCTGAGGTCATCAAAATGTGTGTATATCTCAGCCCAGCTACTTTAAACTCTGTTTGATCACATGGGTTACTATTACGCATAAAACCCCTTATACAACACTGATAGGAATACTGAGAAAAAAAGACAAAAAAATACAACCATCAACATATTTCAAAATTACTTTAATGTAACATCAAAATTTTTTTATGTAAGTGCAACCAGTATTACATCATCAATATAGTGCAGGAAATGCACTAAAACACCAGTCACTAACATTTTTTGAGCTTTATAAATGAAAACCTTCTTTATGGTCACTATTGTGACCGGTGGGATTAAATTAATTTAGGCAAAACACTACAGGTGAATAAGGTAAATATTATATCACCATATTTCTACAGATGATCAATCACAGTACACCAAGACAATTTTTTACTAAACTGTTGTTTAAATATCCAGATATAACGTTATCCAAGTATATATGCTCTAATTTACATATATCTTCAAATCAGAAAACTGAACACTGGATTAAGCCAGATTCAAAACTTAAATTATCGTTTCATTTTGTTGACATTTTAAAGGTTTTTAAAGAGGGGATTTTGGATTTCTCTTCATCAATCAGAAATTGTCAACCACAATAAATAAATAAATGTGTAAAACTCCATCAATAAAAAAACTTCAAAATATTGATAGGAATAAATCTGGAGAAAAAAGTATGGTTTGTATAAGTAATGCTGAAGTTGATATATCTGGCTCAGTGCATAAAAACACCTTTCAAGATATGAAATCTCAAATAAAAAATGCAATAAAACAAACTCTTTAAAGTGTATTTTAGATGTTTTCATTCCATTAGTCTAAAAGAAGACAAGTTATGGAAGTAACATTTTTAAATTGCCCAGTGCATGTAAAAACAATGGATTTGCCTGTAGTGTCTGGCCTTAATGTAATTTACCACAGAATAAAAAAACAAAAAAATACAATATATACATATATCTACAAATATATACAAACAAAATACTCGCCAGACTTTTAATTGCGGTTTGCACACTACATGATGCATTGGCGACTGGGTGTAACACGTTGCACAATATTTCACTAGGAAGAATCCTCCACAAATCCTCATCTCGTGCAGAAAAGGTGAGTTTTGAGTGAGAAGTGAAATGAAGTAATGATGCAAAGATCACACAAGAGCTGAACTCTAGTTTGAGACTGGAATTCTCCCTTGCGCTGCATCATGCCCTCTCATTGCCAATGTCATTTCAAGTTAAAACACAGTCGCAGATGGGTCCAGAATTTTAGCTTGCTAAATATTTCTCAGCATCAGTGATGCATTGGCACTTCTCTCAGATTGCGTCTTTCATTTACTCTATGCGACTGTCACTCACTTGAACGAGTACAGATTGTGTAATGTATACCCAGTATAAAGGAAGGAGCATTGCCAAAAGAAAGAAATAAAAACAGATGTATATAAACACTTATGTACACAGGCACTCTATTTTACACATGCAACAGTGTGGTGTCCATAGGCTTTGCACCCCAGTCTATATCGCTGGCAGTGACACTAATCTTCAGACACAAAGAACACAATAATTACATGATTTAAAAATCACAGGACAATTACAGCACAGCTGAATATGCTTCATGAACAGAATTAAGATTCAGAAATGGAGAAAACACCTGTAATGGACAGATGATGTGAAAGACAGAACATTTATGCTACACATGGTTTCCATTAGCAGTCCCATTAGAAGCATTGACCTCAGAAGGTATAAATGGAGTCGTACTCTGATCAGGAGGCAAGACTTTCAAATTATTCTCCTCTAAGAAAACACACATTCACAGAAAGTCAAAGAAATAAGCAGGACTAATGATTCATTTACACAAAAATACTCAACAAACAGTGTTGTTTTTTCTGATGTTTGCAGAATGTATGGTAGTTTCCTTTTCCTAAATATTTAACACTTCTTAAATGTTTCTCTTAATGAATCTTCAGTCTCCACCACACTGTTATCTTTTGTACTGCGTTAATAGAAAAGGTTTGCATGCCATAGGGTGTGAATTATTGTGTGAATTATTGTGATTAAAATATATCTTATGTTGGTGAGTATTAAGACACTTAATACTAGTATTATTTTTTTTTATATGGCCTCACTGGTGAAGTTTTGCCTTGGTATGAAAAAAATAAATAAAGGAGAAGAAACAACAGATTCACCGTGAACATTTGTTACACCCAGACCCTGAAGTGAAGTCAGAACATGTTAAATAAATAATTCACAAAAAACAATTATATAATAACAATATTTAAAAAAAGAAATACTGTTCTTCACTGTTCTTCATTCTGAGTAAAACAGTACAAAAGCAGCAGTATCTTAAAGAGTCAATTATTGTTGGTGTTTCTGTGTACTGATTTCTAAGTTTCTCACAGATCTGAATCTGTGGTTATTTATTTATTTAAGCAGACAGGTTCAGTCCTCATAGTATCTCACCTGATCACGATTGTTCTGTGTGTCTGTTTGGAAAATAAACAATTAAACACATTACTTTGGTTAATTACAATACAAAATATATATTTTCACATCTTTTAAATAATATTTCCACATAATACATCCCATGCTGTATGTAATACTCACCTTTCCTTCTTGCTCTGCGATAGAGGAACACAGCAGCTACTGCAGCAATGAGCAACAGAACAACAACAACCCCTGCTATAGCACTTAGAGAAAGACCTGAATCTGGAACAGATAAAGACAGACAGTCATTATTACTAGAGAGTGACTGATTATCCATCCACTATTTACCAATATCTTTAATTTATATCTACTTTGTTCATCAGCTGTATGATATTGATTTAACTGATAAATGGCACCTTCTGGTGTTTTTTTAGGAACAGCAACTAAAGCAGCATCACAGCACTGTGAGCTCAACTAGAAACAGCAGTATGTTGCAGTATGACTCTGGCTAACAACTTGAAAACTGTCACTTTGAGATTCATGTGAAGATGATACTGACAATATACAATACAAATTATATTTTAACACTGATTCATAGATCACTTTCAAACAGGCCACGATAATATTAAATACATTTATATTAACTAAATTATTACATAATTAAAAATAACATTAACTTGACAATAATTTTGGACTATATTCTAAAGTTAGAGGGCAAAGGCATTGAATAACTAATTTATACTCACCAATGACAGTTAAAACAGTTGATATTCTGCTAATACTGAAGCTGCTGCTGTTGATCTGTAGTGTATAGAGTCCAGAGTCTGTGGTTCTGGTGTTGCTGATGGTCAGAGATCCAGTCTGATGATCCAGCTCCAGTCTGTCTCTGAATCTCTCATCACACTGATCATCTGTACAGATCTTACTCTGATCTCCAGTGATTTCAGCCATGAGAATGTCACTAAAATACCACGTCATCACACCATTCAGGTTTTTTACTACACCAGGATCTAAAGTAACAGATTCTCCCTCCTTCACTGACTTTGTCTTCTATAATAACAATATTTAAAAAAAGAAATACTGTTCTTCACTGTTCTTCATTCTGAGTAAAACAGTACAAAAGCAGCAGTATCTTAAAGAGTCAATTATTGTTGGTGTTTCTGTGTACTGATTTCTAAGTTTCTCACAGATCTGAATCTGTGGTTATTTATTTATTTAAGCAGACAGGTTCAGTCCTCATAGTATCTCACCTGATCACGATTGTTCTGTGTGTCTGTTTGGAAAATAAACAATTAAACACATTACTTTGGTTAATTACAATACAAAATATATATTTTCACATCTTTTAAATAATATTTCCACATAATACATCCCATGCTGTATGTAATACTCACTTTTCCTATTTGCTTTGCGATAGAGGAACACAGCAGCTACTGCAGCAATGAGCAACAGAACAACAACAACCCCTGCTATAGCACTTAGAGAAAGACCTGAATCTGGAACAGATAAAGACAGACAGTCATTATTACTAGAGAGTGACTGATTATCCATCCACTATTTACCAATATCTTTAATTTATATCTACTTTGTTCATCAGCTGTATGATATTGATTTAACTGATAAATGGCACCTTCTGGTGTTTTTTAGGAACAGCAACTAAAGCAGCATCACAGCACTGTGAGCTCAACTAGAAACAGCAGTATGTTGCAGTATGACTCTGGCTAACAACTTGAAAACTGTCACTTTGAGATTCATGTGAAGATGATACTGACAATATACAATACAAATTATATTTTAACACTGATTCATAGATCACTTTCAAACAGGCCACGATAATATTAAATACATTTATATTAACTAAATTATTACATAATTAAAAATAACATTAACTTGACAATAATTTTGGACTATATTCTAAAGTTAGAGGGCAAAGGCATTGAATAACTAATTTATACTCACCAATGACAGTTAAAACAGTTGATATTCTGCTAATACTGAAGCTGCTGCTGGTGATCTGTAGTTTATAAAGTCCAGAGTCTGAGGTTCTAGTGTTTGTGATGGTCAGAGATCCAGTCTGATGATCCAGCTCCAGTCTGTCTCTGAATCTCTCATCACACTGATCATCTGTACAGATCTTACTCTGATCTCCAGTGATTTCAGCCATGAGAATGTCACTAAAATACCACGTCATCACACCATTCAGGTTTTTTACTACACCAGGATCTAAAGTAACAGATTCTCCCTCCTTCACTGACTTTCTCTTCATTTCATCTCGCTCAGCAGCAGAAACACCTGAAACACAAACCAACAGTTGCTGGAGGATCGTTTTGGAGGAAAAAACCTCAACAAGATAACTGATTAATCATAATATAAGAAAGCTAGTAAAACAAGTACTTCACATACTCTTTCTAGACTTGGACTAAAATGCTAAATGTCTCTATATGTTGTGCTTACGTTGAACATCCTGGACAGCTAAAACACAATAATTAAGAAAAATTAGATAAGAAAATGTGACCAGAGATGATTTCAGAGATTAGAAATGGAAATAATTCTGTTCGGTTTAATGATACAGGAAAAGAGGAGCTTGGAATGTCACTGTTATAATAAACATATATAATCTGTTTCTAAATATTCATGAAATGACTCACCATGTACGGAAACACTGAAGATCTTGTCACTGAAGCTGCCACTGTTGATGACCTTTCTTTTGTAAACTCCAGAGTCTGTGGTTCTGGTGTTTGTGATGGTCAGAGATCCAGTCTGATGATCCAGTTTCAGTCGGTCTCTGAAAATCTCTTTACACTCATCATCTGTACAGATTTCTCTCTTTTCTCCAATGATTGCAGCGACTTGGGTGTCATTAAAATACCACCTCATCTTTCCTTGTTGATTTGCTTCAATATTAGTGTGTAGAGTGACTGAATCTCCCTCCATCACAAACACCGACTCTTCATCTGCACCAACACCAGACACACCTGGAAGGGAACAAATGAACATTTAATTAAATCTGTGATAGTGGGAATAAATTACACAACACCTAAGCACTTTCAACATGTTTCAGACATATTTCACTGTCTAAAAAAATAGTAGATTTAAATATGTCCAGTTTGCATTCATTTACAAGTGTAGTAGACTATCAAAACTAGACTTCTTATGTCTCGCCTGCTTCTCCCTATGAGGGGTGAGATTTTGATTAGGTGTGGGGGTGGGTTTTAGACATGGAGTCCAATCAGGTAGCAGTATCCCCACAGCAGTTTTCTCCCATTGTTCAGTTAATTTAGGCATATGGTATTTAATGATTTATAAACAGCATTTAACAGATTATTCTTCTAATAAAACATTTGCAATAGGTTTGTAAAAGGTGCTTCTATTTGCATGTTTGACCTGAGATTTTGTTGAATCTAAAGTTTTGACCAGCAGATGTCACCAGCATGTGATGTGAATCATTGTCCGAAACAATTGATTCAAAGTTTGAAAAAGCTTCATTTCTACCATCACGAATCATAACCCATAATGGGAAATGCGTTGCGTAAATAAAATAGCAGTGTCTGAATCTGTGGGTGAGCACATTACTGATCTTACAAAGTTGAAAAAGGGCACCTATTCATCTTTTCATCGCTCTTAACACTTTCTGAACCGTGGTATTGTGTCAGAAATATGGGTATCTGTATCGAATTGTATTAATGTAGACATGTATTATATGTAGTAAAAAAGTAAAAGAACATAATTGCAGTATTTTTTGTGATTAAGCTATAGCGTTTGGGCATTTATACTACATTTATTTAGACTACTGTTTTTCATACAAACACCTAAAAACTTCATTCATTCATGTTACTATGGAAGACCATTGGTTAACTAAAAAAAACACAAACATTTAAAAATGAGGTTGCTACAATTTTTACAGATGTTACTGATTTTGATAATGAAAAATGTGCATTTCTAAGAGACAAAAATGTATATTGGTTACTGAAATGTTCTGATATAGCCTACAGTAACAGAGGTAAATTTGCTAATCTATACATTATAGTATCTCTTCCCTGATTTATTTGTATCTTTGTTCTATTGTATTTATTTGTACTATTGCTTGTAACATGTTCATTTGTTCTTATTGTTTTACATGTCTTTAATTAACAATTTTTATTAAAAAAAATACTATTTTTGTTTTTGTGGCAAGGCCGGTAAAAATTTTGCCAGGGCAAATAAAATCTGAACCAGTAAAAAAATGCCTTGCCTTGGTGTTGTGTCCTGTGTATATAAAGAGTCACTTTCAAGACGTGTCCCTTTTGTTAAATAAAATAAACATAAAAAATCTGTTTGGGGAGAAATAAAGCAATGTTAAATCCGTCCCACCAGGAACGTCGCTTGGCAAAGGATGTTGGTGAGCAAAGCCCCGTTGGCACAGCCATTTTGCGTATAATAACCGGTAAATTATATTTATTTATACGGAGGGAAAAACATGTTCACTACTCGGTATTCTGATGAACCGGAACTGCCTTTATTTGCACATGTCCCTTTTTGGAAGACAGGTCACATGACATGAGAAGTGTGAGGGCACACCCAGAGCCGTAGAGAGAGTAACTCTCAGTAACTCTGCATTGGCTCATAACTCTTTCTATGGCTCTGGGCACACCCAAAGTTAACAAGCCCCGCCTCAACCTTCCATTTTGAAAGCTCAAGCAGTCCATTTTACAAAATCGTGCTAACAAACATAAACATGATAACAGATGCCAGGGACAGAAAACAGACTTTAAACAGACTGAAATTAAACGCTGCCATGCATTGTTAAAACAGCGAACATAATGTGACCCTTGACATTTATTTTAAATAACTAAGATTCATTAAAAAGCTCTGTTTAATAAGTGTGGTAGGTAATTGTGACCCCATAGCTGCCTGGTCCATTCCACTTTCAGAAAAGCGTCTAAAACTATAACAAGATGTCATCTTCACTCATTAGCTACATAAAACAGCATCAATTAATAAATAATACATCGATTTCTGCCGAGTATAAAGTGATTAAATGGAAATACAAAATGAACCGGAAAAGAGATCGTAAATACATGTCTTACCAAGCACGTGCAAAACAGTCATCAACGTCCACAAAACGGAGTTCATTTTCACCGGTTTTCGTCTTTACAAAAAAGTAAATTAAATGGAAATAAAAGCTCCCATTACCCGATGAGATCCCCTACATAATAGAAAGTAGGTCTAAGTAAATCGAAAGTAAAAAGGCTGCCTGAAGCCCGCAGTTCCTCCAGCTTCCGCACTTAGTGTGAAGCAAGCTTCAGTCGCTTTCATGGTCGCTTTGCTAAAAGCACGTGATCTGTGACGTCAATCTTCGTTCGCCTACAAACCACGTCTTTCATACAGATTAGATGGAGCTAAAGATCCAATCGATCAAAAAGTTGGTATTGGAGTGTACATTTACAAAATCAGTACTGAAAAAAAGAACAGTTTTATGGAAGGCATAGAAAGGCAGAAAGGAATGATTTTAAAGGGTGGAACAAATTCAGCACTTGCAT